TGCAAATGTGTTTCCTAAAAGATGCATGCTTGTCAGCGTTCTGGAGGTATAGAGCACAATATATTAGAGAGAACATCTGAGAAAGCAGGAGGAAAGCATGTCTTTTCTTTCCGTGGCTTGCCTGTGGAGAAAGTTTCCGGCTCTGGCTGAGGCCTCAGGTTCCTGAGGGGGGAGACTGTATTTCTATCCTCCCTCCCTCTCCGTGGCACCATCCTTCTCTCCTTCTCCATGTGTCTCTTTCTCCCTATGGATAGAGCTGAAGGACATGTCACCACAACATGGCACTGGATAAGACAAGTCCACCTCTCTCCCTCCCTCCTTCCTCCCCCCTCTGCCTCCTAACTTCCTCTCCCCACACACTCTCTCTTTTTTCAATCGGTCCCCGCAAACACAAACACATAAACAAACTCAATTAGCTAATGACACTGGCCCCGCCATTGGGTGGTCCTAATTAACGTTTACTGCCTGCCTGATGTCAGCTCTCAGGCAGTGATTAATAACTAACCCCCTACCAGTACACATACACGCGCACGCGCACACACACACACACACACACACACACACACACACACACACACACACACACACTAACACAACATGCAGGCAGTAAGCGCAGAGGTGAGGGGTGCTGCTTTTTTCTTATTATGATATTACCATGCAACTGTTTAAGACTCAACATGTGCCAGTTGGCCGTAAACCAAACCTGTTTGAAAAAAAAAAGTTGACAAGCAGTCCTGAGAGGTAGAAGCTGTAATATGATCATCAAATCCTCCGTGCTGTAAAACAGATTAGAGCCTGAGTGGAGCACGGTGATGTAGAAGGAGGCTCAATCCAAACATTGGGAGCCAGCAGACAGTGTGCGAACAGGCCCTGTGGAGCGCTCCTCAGGAAAACTGCTGTTTAGCTTGCAAAGGGTTAACATCTGTTGGGCTCGCAGACTCCCCGCGTGTGACGCACTGTCTCGATGAGGGAAAGTCTAACAGGAAAGGCAGTCTAAAAAAGGTCCCTGTGCAACGAGGGCCCAAGGTACGTTTTCGTTGGCCCTCTCCTCACATTTTTTGCACTTGTTTTTCCAATTTGCTTAACTACAGTTCAATGGTTTTCGGATTTGCAGATTGCTGCACGGTTCCTATTTTATATCCGGTGGTGGAAGCTTTGCCTTTTATTGCTATTGTGGGGCTCGTTCTTCTTCTTTTTTTTTTTAAATCTACCTTTTCGGCTGTGTCTTATTGGGTGTCTTACTGCATTTGCCTGCCGCTGGCCCCTCTCACCCTCTCCCACTCTTGTGCCTGTGTTGCCCATAAATTCCCCCCACTGCTGGTGCACAATCTCTCTAAGCCGCTCTGTGATTTACTTTAATAAAACATTGCACCTGACCCAAAGACTTGTGTGTTTAATTGTGTGTTTGCATGTGTGTGTGTTTGGATGTGTGTGTGTGTGTGTGTTAATGTGAATAAGGTCAGTTGGACACAGCAGTGACAAGGCTTCATATGTTAATATGGTGCACATGTGGCTCTGGCATTGGAGGGTTGTGGTGGTCAGAATGACCCCCTACCCATTTCCACCCCATCCCATTCATCCCCACTGAATGTGGCTCTCCATTCACGCTGTTTTCACAGAGGAGGGAGGGAAGGAGGGGGGAGATGGGGGGAGGAGGAGGCGAGATGGTTGTCTCAGAGGGAGAGAGGTGGTCTTTCTGTTCTCCCTGGCTCAGAGAGAAGGAAAAACAATTGGTGTGCAAATGGTTGCTTCTCCCTTATTCCTAGATGACCCGCCCTTCCCTCCCTCCCTCTATCCCCTTCCTCTATCCTCTCTCTCCATCCCTCCTCTCTTTCCTCTCTGGATGTCTAGAAAGAGGGGCGCTGTGGAGAAGAGGGCCAAGCATCTGTGTAAAATCTGAATAAATAAAACAGCGGAGGGTGTATTTTGTGGGTGTGTGTTTAGACTGTGTTTTTCTAAGTGTTTCTGGCGTACACACGCCAGAAACACTTAGAAAAACACAGTCTAAACACACACCCACAAAATACACCCTCCGCTGTTTTATTTATTCAGATTTTACACAGATGCTTGGCCCTCNGGGTACACAGCGACTGGGAGAAGCGGTGTCCCTAACCTGCTGGTCTTCGACCTGAGGCTCCTGAGGGGTAGGAGGACAACAGAGTGGTTTGCCACGCGTTGAGCAGGTGTCTTTAAAGATGTTGTTGCCCTCTGCCAAACACCGTCTTTCCCGGATGGTCTCCGATGGCAGGGAGTGGGACACCAACGATGCGTGGACGATTTTTGACACTCTGGCAATGGCTTCTTTCCTGTTGAGCATTGAGCAGCCTTTCCCATACCAGGCTGTGTACAGCTGGTCAGGCTGCTCTCGATGTGCAGCGATAAACAAGTTCACCAGAATCTGAGGAGAGACGGTGATCTTTCTTTAGGACCCTCAAGAAGTAAGAGACGCTGGAGAGCATTCTTTACTAGTGGGTTGTGGACGCATGAAGAGGTTCAATCGGGTATGTGGACCCCCAGGAACTTGAGGTTAGACACACGTTCCACCCGCCGCCATTTTGTGGATGGGAAGTGTGTGTGTGCCTTTCGATTGTCCTGAAGTCCACAATGAGATTATGTTTGTTGTGGTTGAGGGCCCAGGTTATTGTCGGCACATCACTCAGTCAGATGCTGAACCTCCTCCCTTGAGGAGGAAGAGGAGGGGCTGCAGCCCACGCAGCCTTTGTGGGGACACCGTATTTAGGCTGAGGGTCATGGGAAGAGATGGTCGTACCTGACATGATGAGGGTCTGTTTGGTTAGAAAGTCTAGATCGCAGTTCAAAGGGGGCCGTCGGATTGCCCAGGTCAGTGAGTTTGTGTGATTGCTTGGGAGGGGCATGACGGTGTTGAAGGCTGAACTGAAGTCGATGGAACTCAGCCCAGTCTAGCATAGAGTTTGTTTTTTCCAGATGTGAGAGGCGGTGTGAAGTAGTTATGGAAACAGCATTTTTCCCTGCTCTATTAGCGGTATGCAAATTCATGGGGGGTCCAGTGTCGGGTGGGTGATAGGCAGATTTAAGCTGTTGCTAGGATCAACTTTCTCGGAAGCACTTCATGAGAATGGGTGTAAGTGCAACGGAACGGAAGTCATTCAGGCCTGCTGCAGCAGAGTGTTTGGGCACTGGCACTATGGCGGTGGTTTTAAAGCACGTGGGGACAACAGTTTGGGCCAGGGACAGGTTCAAAATGTCATGACCTCAGTCAGTTGCCCAGCACAGGCCCTGAGAACGCGGCCTGGGATGCCATCGGGTCCAGCAGCCTTGCGTGCATTAATCCTGCTCAGTTTGGTGAAGACATCAGAAGCTGAGAGTGTGAGGGGCTGGTGGTCTGCAGGGGGAACAGCCTTGGTGGCTGTCTCCTGGTTGTCCCTGTCGAAGTGAGCATAGAAGTTATTCAGCTTGTTTAGGAAGGAGACGTCGTTTGACGTTTATTCACTGATAAACTGTATTTAATTTAACCCTCTATGGCATGACGTTTTATTTTGGGAGGAAGAAAATGTTTCACCATGTGTTTTAGGAGCTTAGGGGTCCCTGATATTGTATAAATTATAAAATGTGACCCCCCCACACCCCTCAACCAGGGGTCGGTTTGTTGCCTCAGGGCAACAATGTGCTACGAGGGTATTGAAACACCAAGGATTTCTACAATTGAAAAAAAAAGTGAAATGTATCTTACCAAGTGGTTGCCCTGAGTCCCCTGCAGCTTTGCTTGCAGAAAGGACTGCTCCACCCCCAGACAAAATGCCACACCCATATAATTCCCTCATTCTATTGGACACCAGCATGTCAGGTGACATTGTGTATATTTAAAGAAATAAAATATTTAGAGGGCCAGTGTGAGGTCGAAAAAAGTGGTTTGTTGCCTGAGGGCAACAGAGGGTTAATCTTACTGCATAATATATAATGTTACATTCTGTTATTGTATATCATATTCTATTTAAGTGTATATAGACTTCTTGCACTACTTTTTTTATTGTTATTTTTGTACTTTATTTTTGAATGTATTTTATTGTTTATGCCTTATTTAACTATGTTGCTTTGTTGGGGAGCTCGGACATAAGACTTTCATTGCCATTTCTACACTGTAGCTTATGACAGTAACACCTTTCAATCTTGACTCTTTTGAATCTTGTTACGATAGCAACAGTATACACAGTAATTCAAAGTAGCTCCACCTTTACCAGCTGTGATGAACACATTAATAATAAATAAAAGAATCCACCATTTTGTACTTTTACTTAGTAAGATTTTAAATGCAGGACTTTTACTTGAGTCAAATATTAGAGTACTTCTTACACCACTGCTTATTAGTAAATGTTAGCATGCTAACACGCTAAACTAAATGGATGAGCATTATAAACGTTATATCGGCATGTACCATTGAAAGGGTGTTTCTAGTTTAGGTTTCAACAAACCACAGCACTGAGACTGCTTAAAGTTTTAATCTTATGAGATATCAGTGCTAGAAAAACTGGGGAGGACTTTCTGAAACAGATCTAAACCGTCCCGGTTTGAATCCTGTTCACAGAACAAGAATTATTTAGCAATTATTTGAGCTACATTAATCTGTTCTACATCTACATGCGTATGCTAGCTAAGGTTATGGAAAACAATTATTTTGCAGATGACAGAGATTTAGGTAACAATAAGGTGACAATGATCCCATACAGGAATTGATGAGTGAATTATTGAACAAATGTTGCCAATTCAATTTGAAACTACTCATTATTATAATGTAACTTCACCAAGTCATTTCGTGAGTTGTGTTGGTATACATATTTTTTTAACGATTACTTCTGGACTTGTACCATATCCTCTTTATACGTCCTGCGGTTGATCTTAGTTTCTATAAAGCTAAAAATGACACTTTAGGCAAATTGTTTAACATCAGCCCTGATTTGTTGGAATGATAACATTGATGGGAATAAGATTATGAAAATGTAGCCAACAGATTTAATATGCAAAGTTATCTTTATTGAGAGCAGAAATGTGCAGTATAAGTGAAACAGTGCCTTAAAATGTAATCATTCGTTCAGATTATATTTGAAAAGCAGACATGTGGAATAGTTTGATTTCATTGACAGGGAGATTAACATAAGAACGCATGAAATATTCATACTTTCCATTATTACTAGCACTGATTTAAAAAGCAAAAAATAGTGGCCATCACAGAATGATTTAACAAAATTGTTAGACTATGCGTTCCACTTCAGTGAGTGTTGAGAACTCTCAGCTCTGCCTTCACTGATAGAAACACAGGTTCTCATATCTGCCGCTGTTGCCCGTGTTGAGATCTTTCTTGATAACGGTGACACCAGCCCTCCTATCATAATCTGCAACCAGATCTTTGTGGGGAAGCAGGGTGATGGCCTTTATTGGATTGTTGGTTCCTTGTTTCTTGTACCACAGGTACTCTAGGACACCTGAATTCCCTTCGTTCAGGTCAACCCTCACTTGCTGGTAATTTTGCTGCTGATATTGCTGATACTGACCATCAGTGATGGAGACTTGCAGATCTTTGAGTGCCTTCCTGCGGTCGGTGGTCTGACGGTACCAGATGAAGACAAAGGCTCCTCCTGCACCTCTGTTGGTATCTTCATCCACACGGATGTAACCTGACCTAAAGTGGGCGTGGTCTGACCCAAAGGAATCAGTGACTGTGACATCACAGATGTAGGTTTGTGCCTCTCTCTTCAGCCAGATGTGGATCCAGTCCCCACCAGCCTTGCGGTTCAGATCACAGGCCACTCTCTCCCAACCAAGACCAAACATTTCAGCATCATTGCCTGCAGTGACAGTGATGTCCACTATGGGAGTATCAAACTCTCCGGACCCTTTGACAGACCAAAGGTAGAGCCAACTACCTCCTGCTCCAGAATTGAGATCTTTCTCGATCTTTGTGTACCCTGCATTTGACAAACCAACATCCTGCTGATCGTTGAAGGAAACTTGAACCTTGGTGATGGGCACTGATCCACGTTTGTACCAAAGATAGATGAACTTTCCTCCTGCTCGTTTGTTCAGATCAAGATCGATTTTGTTGAAGCCTTGTGATCGAAATTGTTGCCCTTCAGCATTATCAAAGGACACTTGAAGTTCTGTGACGTATGTGGCCATTGATGGAATCTGCATTAAAGAAAGATAAATCCACAGTAAACAAAATATGACAAGTTAGCTGGATAACTGCCTTTTCAGGTGATTTCCAATATGATGCTTAAACATTCAAACATCAGTTCTCAGATATAGATCCACACAATGACATCTAAATGACTTAAGACTTTAACATGAATGCATATGTTATGGCAGAAATGATGAGACGAGAGGCAGACCTGAAGAGTGCCGCCCGACGGGTCTACGTTTTATTGCTGTGTCAAAAAAATCAAGAATACAACACAACAACAATACCAAGAGCCTTCCCACTATATCATCATATCACACATGAAGCTCACCGTAAGTCCAAGCAGGAAGACTGGGAGGAGTAGGAAGACGCCTCTAACCCCCATCATCATCATCATCATCATCATCAGTGGGGAGGATGTGGAGGTGGTGAACAGCTACAAGTTCCTGGGAGTGCACAAACACAAGGGACACTGACAGGCTGAACAAGCTGGTGAGGAAGGATAGCTCTGTAGAGTATAACTGGACACTCTGGAGGAGGTGGCAGAGGGGAGGACGAGGAGGAAGCTGGACAGTATCCTAGAGAACCCCTCTTCAACATCACCACAAGTGTCTAAACCCGAGGAGGGGCGGGGGGTCTATTATACTCACGGCTGCACTTTCCCTTTAAGATATATGATATCAGGATCGGTGTCTGATCGCCACAGACTAATAACATTTGATTCATATGGTGCATGTGTCAATAAATGTTCTTTAAACATTTAAACATGAACAATGAAGTCTCTCCTGATTGAATTCTATAAGCTGAGTCCCACAAGGTGACATGCAAACTCTGCAGGCAAAAAAGTTGCCTTCAAAATGCACGCCTTGTCACGCCAGAAACAGCTCAAGCTTACTCATTTTCTTTAAGACAAATGACTGAGAGGAAGTGAGAAGGGACAAAAACAGCAGAGACTCAGGAGAGAGGGATCTCCACACACAGACTCCTGCTTTTGACAAATACGCATTCACTTTTACAATTACACACACACACACACACACACACACACACACACACACACACACACACACACACACACACACACACACACACACAATCCTGTTCAATTTACAATGTATATTGCAAGATTATAATGTGGAAATTATACTTTGTTTTGTGGAAAAAGCTGACTGTATAAATGCCTCAAAACATGTCAAAAGGGGATTTTTAAGTATAACTAGTACTTTAAGCCAAAACGCATATATTCAACCTGGTTGAAATCATACAGCAACTTCATTCTTGTGTAAATATGTTACTTTGCGAGGGTGTATTTTTATTAACATTTTAAACTCGACATCCTTTTCACAGATCTGAGATGTCTGCGTTCTTACCCTCTTGTGATCTTGTCTTCAGATTCCTCATATTGTCTCCAACCTCAAAGGCATTACTATATGGCCTATACTGTCATGTCCTGTGAATATTAGTCAGCAGAGGAAACACTGACACCTGGTGGCAGTCTTGCAGTCTTAGTGGTTTTCACACACAAGCTGTCACAAACACAACATATTAGAGACTCAGAAGTTTGTTAACGACAAGACTAGACATTCTATAACATGTATGCCATGTAAAGCCATAATCAGACAATTTAAATGTAATAAGAAAACCATCATTACATTACGAATCTTATACCTGTAGGCTAGTTGGTTGTTCACATACACAAGGAGTCTCGCAAACCTCAATATTTTTCTAGTTGAATCCATAAAAATGTAAAAATAATTACATGTCATACTTTGATTGATTTGTGAATGAGATTGATTTGGGGCGGTTGCTGCTCAGTGGGTTAGTGCGCTCATCTTCAGATCAGGGGGCACCGGTTCAATCCCGCCTTGACAGCCTCGCAGTGAGCATGCCGCTGTGTCCTCGGACAAGACACTTCACCCCAAATTGTTCCTGTGGGTATTGTCCACAGTATTGAATGGAATGAAACCGGATGATGAGTGAAAGTATTGTAAGGATAAAAGTGTCCAGTAACATAATGTAAAGCGTCTTTGAGCACCTGGAAAAACGCTACCATGTATTTGATCCCTTGCAGATTTTGTAAGTTTGCTCACTTAAAAATGCATTAACAGTCTATGATTGTAATGGTAGGTTTATATAAACAGTGAGTGTAAGAATATAAAAACGAAAATCCAGAAATCGACATTAGGCTATATAAAACAGGGGTGTCATACTCAATTTCATCGCGGGCCACGTCAGCATTATGGTTGCACTCAAAGGGCCGGTTGTAACTTTAAGACTATATAAATATACAACATATATAAAATAATGTATTATATTACATTATTGCCTCTGCATTGGATTATTATCGGATAGAGTAATAACTTCATCATTAACTACGTCTGAAGGCAAAAGTCTAGGGCAAATAATTGCAAGTCTCTTCAGTGCGCATGTCACAAAATGAGATGCATTGTGGGACATGTAGTTTATTGGCATAAAATGAAGTCGCGGGCCGGATTTGGCCCCCGGGCCTTGAGTTTGACACCCCTGTCTAGCTACTGTAGACTTCCTTGGGCATTGTTCAAAACCCTGTTGATTATGCATCCTGGATTACAAATATACTCAAAATTGTTGAACATGATGACAGGTTTGATAGATTGCACCAAGAATCCTGAACAAAAACGGTTCAAAAGCTAGAGAAACTTTGGCAGAAAAGTGGTAAGTGCAACATTTTAACTGGGCCGAGGCACCACCATAACCCACATGTCACTCAATCCACCGACTTCCTGTTGGGGCTCTCCACTTCCTGTCTGGGTTTGATGTTTCTGCATAGACAGCACACTGAACATCACACACAGCCTATGATGCTGACAGAAAGTAACAAATACATGTCAACATTTCCTTCAGCTAGGCCATTCAATCACATGTGTGCTGCATGTGGCTGTGCGTGTTTATTAATGTAAGTGGTGTATATGGTAAGTACGTTGCCTAAGGCACACGGAACTGACGGCTTCTGTTATTTCTGTGGATTTTGCTACAATTAAGTCTATGTATAAACCACGGCTTACATAAGTACACAAACTAAAAAGTAAACTGCACTCAGATTAAGTTGAAGTACTGCTAACAGACTGTGAGCACAGGCCGAGATGAAAAGGGCTACAGTAATCCCCTCTAGCCTGTCGATTTCCCTAATCTCCTTTTTTTGTTGTTGCTGGAGCCCAGAGGAGGGTGTGACAGGGTCAGGGGTGAAAGTTAAGAGCCTAGATGGATGAAGGAGGAGGGGACAGATGAGGTTTCATAGCCTGAGAAGACTCCTTGCCTTTGGCTGAAACCCCTACTTCCCCTGCAGCCCTCCCCCCTCCACCAGGCAAGAGATAAGAGGAGGGATCATTTGGAAACACAAACAGGTTTTTGACTCATAAGGGTCAAGGGTCAATGGGGGAACTTCCAGCGGTGAACACCTAACCCTGTTGTACATCACACACAGTCTCAAACACATGCACATACATGTCCGCTGACTAGGTGTTTTTCTACAAAGAGAAGAACATGTATGAATTCCTTCACAGAAGACTTCCTCTTGTTTGATGTACTACTCTATTATTTTGTCAAACTATTTTTAAACTTGTTTTGACAACTGTAGAGACAACATAGTCACAAAGTAAATTCCTAGAAGTTCTTTGTCTGTTTTAATAGGTGTATTGCCAGATCAAAAATATCTCCTGAATGTAGACAAACAAGAAAGACAGAAGACAATAGGAGGTAAAAACAGAGAGTGTGACGTCCTGGCTGAGGTCTTTGCTTATACACTCGAAACAATGCCCACACTCTTCCTGCTCTCCACAATTTTGACAGAGGTGTGAAGGTGCCTCCCTTCAGCCAAATACCTTTGGGATTATTTCCGCGCAGCTTGAAACAAGCCCGGCCAAAGACCTACCCACAATCTGGGTAAAAACAACATCCGAGCCGGGGCGCAGGAGAAATCCCCGGCCTTTATGTGAGAGGTGACTGGAGGAGATGAGGTTGCACTAGCATGTCTTCTCCTCTGTGACCCCGAGGGTTGATAGGTTGAGAACAGTGGCTTGCATTGTTTGCTTGTACTACCCCCCCACTCCTCCACCCTGCCTTCTCTTCACCCTGTACCCCACCCAGCTGAAGATCGAGTTAACTCTTGCCTGCGGTCATTCCACCTCGTAGGAACTCAATCCTGCGCAGCTCTGTGTTTCTCTCCTGGGTCGGCCGGTGAGAGGTTAAAGCTTCAGCCCCTTTTCTCATATGATTCATTACCACCACAGCCTGTCTGAGGATGAATACAGGCCATAAAAGAGAGCTGCTGCGCCACTGCAGGCAGATATCAATCAGCCAGTGTGCTGATAGTGTGCGCTTTTGTACTCCTTTGAGAATTAACGCGCAAATATATTCCTTGGGCCTTGTATAATTATCAGTTTGTGTGTCAATGCTTCAGAGTTTGTGATAATGCACATGCTCGTACATGTGTTACAGTGTATGTGTATAGACAGAATAGGTTTCTTTGTCTTGTTCCCAATGCTAAGGGGCAGAGCAAGGGAGCAGGGCTGGACTAGAAACTCATAAATCACAGGAGAGGATAGAGAGTAACAGCTCAAATTAAGATAAAACCCCCTTAATTATCAGCTAAACAGCCTGGTGTCCCCTCTCTCCCTGGGCTATCTGTCACCCAGCAAGCAGGCCCAGTCACCAGGGGACAGGCTTTACTGCTCCCCTCACACACACACACACACACACACACACACACACACACACACACACACACACACACACACACACACACACACGCACAAACAGACACTTGGTGAGTTGGGAGACGATAGGTGGGGAAGTTCCAGTCTACTCAAAGCTACTCAAAGCTGATGACCATGGTTGAAGTGTGTGTGTGTGTGTGTGTGTGTGTGTGTGTGTGTGTGTGTGTGTGTGTCTGTGTGTGTGTGCGCGTGTGTGTGTGTCAGATGAAAAGACAGAGCAAAAGATAGAGGAGCGAGAGGAGAAAAAAGGAAAGACCAAAGAACTCTATTTTGGCATCCGTGGTGTTTGAATGTTCTTTTTTTCCCCCTTTCAGTTCTCTTGGAGGCAGTGTATTGATTTTATATTAGTCCTGAGCTACCATCTGGCTGCTTTTCATTCCTCTGTTTTTATAAAGCAAGGGGAACAGACAGAGAGAGATCGAAAGAGACTGGCCTCAAAATTCATTATGCGATAAATAAAGACAGTCAGAGAAGAGGAGCATACAGAGTAGTGTGTGTTCAAAACAGAGATAAAGAGTGTGTGTGGGTGTTTGTGTATGCACTTCAGCACATATGTTTAGGTTTGTGAGCATAATCTATGTGCTGTCTTCATATATGTGGGTAACGAATGAATGGTGGGCATCAGAGAGCCGAGCTAACTGATGTAGTACAAAGGCTTCAA